TCATACCCCTGCAAAAAACAGAAATTGATTTCTAAAAAATACAGGTGAACTCAGGGACCATCTATCTAATGATAAAAAATGACGAAAAAAAAATCCAGCTTTTCTTTATATATATATTTTTTAATTTCTTTAAATCGAATTTAGTTTTTGATTTTTAAAAAATCCTAAACAAAGTCGGATTCCAAAACAAAAAATATGAGGTTGTAGGGCTTGAAATTCCCTACAACCCCATATATATATATATATTTTTTGGCCCATTATTTAATTCTGCATGGGTCCTGGGGACCATCTCACGCAAGTGTGTACATGCCATGCATCGTACTCCCACACACAATGAACAGTAGTCTGACAATAGACAAAGATAGAGAAGATGAGGACCGAGTTTCACAGTTTATATTATCAGAAATATGAATACAAAGTGTTTCAAAGTTCCCCTGAGTCCAGCGCTCATCAGCACAACACCAATATCTTGCCAACTCATCAATATGCCTTCCAGTGAATCAGTGCTACCCCTGCAGATAGTCTCCAAGTCATCAATGTGGTCACCACTCATCAGCGCCACCTYTGCAGGTCACATCCAACTCAGGTAAGTATCTTCCATAGCCAACCTTGAATGAACACTCTCAGCCTCAATCCGTTCCTCCTATGATGCATACACACTCTTCAATACTCACGAGGATCTACTATGGATACTACTCATAGCTACATACTAACCCTCTACTACTAATGCTAACTCGCTGGGCAGCTATGGCTGCATCACTTCCAGCGTACAGGCATCTTCCTCCCTCCAGCGCGTCTTCTCCTCCAGCGCTGCTCCTCCTGACTCAGCGCACAAGTGCACCAGCACTTCCACGCATTGCAGCCAGTGGAGATCTGGCGAGGAATGAGGCAGGCAGCTCTTTTTATAGTGCTGGCCACTCCTCGCTGGGTCTGCATTGGCTCAATTCARCCTCTCCCTTTGTCCCAGACCCTRCATTGCATGTGTCCCAGTACAGTCCCAATGAGATTCAACTGCTGCTGAGGCACTTCGGCCTGGATTTGGACTTGGAAGTCTGGATCTGGACTGACCCCTTGACTTAGACCAGAACTGGGACTGTACCTACTGACTTCACTTTCGGACAGGCACAACTCTAAACGAACAGACACATTTACTACTTGAACAGGCACTTTCCATTGCACGAACAGGTACATTGCCTACACGTACAGACACACCCTTACTCAAACAGACATGACATACACATCTCCTGGTGAACAGGTAGGTCTTTTGACAATGCCCTTTGCCTTAGATTTAGATGTGCCTGTTGATAGAGAACTTGACTTTTGACCTGTTTTCACGTTTCTGAGCCCTGGCAAGATACCTTTTCACAATGCTTTACTTTTACAAGGCCCGTGCTGCTCTATTTTTACAAGGCCTGAGGCCTATATCGGGTAAAGGCCCTTTTAATTCAGGAAAATTCTGGTAAAATCAGGTCCGCGGCGCGGACCAGGTCGGCCGCGGACGCGGACCCGTCTGCGTCCACCATCCGAGATCAGATCCGTGGACGCGTCCGCGGGTGTTACATAGGCAACTGGTTGAAAGGCAGGAGGAGGTTGTTGGAAAGGGGCCAATGGGGGTTGACCCTGTGGTTGGATTGGAGGAGCGTTCTCCATCCAATAACGTCCACAGTTAGACCACCTGCCCCTTCCTCTACCTCTCCCCTGTGCCCGCATGCGTGCGTGGTACTGTATAATCGAACCCAAAGATACCTGCACACAATCGAATCCAAAAACAAAATTCCACAAACAACCACAAATAAAAGAAGACAAAAGAAAACAAAACGCAAACAAAATACAGCAAGCACAACAAAAACAAAAACAAAAGACAAAACAAAGCTCCTCAAAAGAGGATATTAGTACCAATCGCTCCACGTCTTGTATGCCGTTTTTTCACCACCCGACACCGGGCTACTCGGGGTACGCCCTCCGATTGTACCCTTGGCGATCAGCAGCCAAGGTAGGACACACCAGCACCACTCAGTGGCCAAACCCAACTCCACCGTCCTTTGAGATGACGATAACTGCTTCTTCCCGAACAAGCATCTTCAGACCGCTGCGCTGAGGATCCACGGTCCCAATCAAAGACCAAATCAATGATCACCTTGATTAACTGTATCTCCCCGATCGCTGCGTTCATACCCGTCCAATGGAGCACCGGGCCACCCGTGTAACAGCGTCGATCAAAGGCACCCCCCCCGGCCTAACCTGAGATAAACCCCCCGCCCTCTACGTGAAATACTATTACTCCCTTGATACCTCACAACCCTTTCTGCGAGCTCACCCGTCTCGTCAACCCTCATCCAAAATCAGGATTCAACCCTATCCCTTGTGGCTACGATTGCTCCATAGGAGTAGGCACGTCAGCACGGTGATACACCACATAGCAAAGTTAAAACGATATTCTGCCGTCACAAAACTACTTAACTAGACGCACCCAAAACTCAATTTCCATCAACTACACACTAACTCATAGTGCCAGAGAAACTGGCACCCTACCACAACTCAACACCCCAATCGCGCCATTCCACCGGCGCACATCAAGGTGGAGGAATGAGTCCTAACTCACACCCCTCCCGTACTACATGATATATGCCGCGACGCACGCCGATTACAATCGTGTTCTGCCCTAGCCCCAACGATAGCTACCCACCTTCGCGCGCCGTCTTCCTGGGCAGTCTGACCAGCACTCAAAGCTACCCTTACTTGGCAGGCCGAAGCTCCAAAGACCACCGTGCAAAGCGCGATCGGAAGAGGTAAGGAGCAGAGACTTGACGTGAGGAGAAGCCGAAAGAGGCTCGACGAAGAGACAAGCCGCCAACCACGCATGCATCTGAATAATAGCACATCAATTATAAACTCCCTCGAAGAAGACAAGGAGGAGAAGAAGAAGAGGAGAGAAAGAAAGAAAGAAAGAAAGAAAGAAAGCACGTCAGTGTACCTGACGGCGCTACAAGATCGTCTCCCAAGCTGCAACTGCAAGGTCGATCCAGTAGCGCCACGCAAATCTTACAAAAACAGGAATTCGCGGACGTTACATCTCACAGCAAAGAATCCCTGATACTCGTTGGTGAAAAACTCACTGACGCTCAACCCTTCTGTCCTGCTGCTCAGGCTAAGAGGAGAACTAGCTCCCAACTCGTGCATTTTATTCCTACGCATTCACTGTTTACCCATTG